GATATTCTGTACTTACTTTGCTATAAATATGAATATCGTAAGTTATACAGGATGTTCAAAATTCTACGCCAAACTTTCTAAAATATAAAATAATTTTTCTTATTTTTTTTAAATAGAACACCCTGTATATTATTTTTTCAATAGACGGAGAATTAAAAAATGAACATTTTTTGTATTTACAGTATTTCAAAATTTTTAACGATTTCGCAGATATTTGCGGTTTTATATTTCATATGGCATTTGCCACCAGTAAATTTTTATCAAAGCCACCTAATGATTTTTCTCTCGTATTTTACCATTGAAAGCGCCATATGAAATAATACTGCGTGTATCTGCGAAACCGTTAAGAATTTTGAAATTCTCTAAATACAAAAAATGTTCATTTTTAAACTCTCCATCTAATAAAAAAATAATATACCATTTAAAAAAACGAAGAAAAATTATTTTATATTTTAGAAAGTTTGGCGTAGAATTTTGAACGCTTGTATAATTTACATCTAAAGTAAATACCTAATGTAGTTTTGATTTCAGAACAGTTCTTGTATTTTTAATAATTTTTTTAAGAAGTGCTGAAAAATATATATTTTTGAATTACATTTTAATATCTCTGAAACTATCGAAATATATTTATTTATATCTTAGGTGAATGTAAAGTGATCTGAAAGGAATCCAAAAATGCGATAATATACAGGGTGTTCCATTTAAAAAAAAACATCCACGTCCACCCACACTTTTTTGAGCCACCCTATAGAAGTTAAAATATTTTCCTGAAATACATCCTGGTACATACTTTAGGTTTGCACTAAAACAAAATTCTCAAGTATTTTATTCTATGAGCTACAGATGCCCGACGCACTATTGCCGGACCCTGTACAGTACGTAAATCTAAATCAAAAAACTAATTGCACATTCTCATAGCCACTTTATTAGGGCTATCTGATAGTATTTTTAGATTTTCAAATTAGCTGATAATTTGTGAGATACAGAGGCCAACTTATATTTTTTAAATATGCATCTGCATTTTTTACTTTTATTACATGAAGTCATTTGTAAAAGTGAAATCAATACATCTCAACATTTACAATAAAGAGTTTAAAATACATTATTACTGTATTATTACAATATTCTGTCCGTTCTGTAGCTACGGAGTATCCGTGAGAGGGGAAACGATATTCTCTCGATGTTTTTCGTAAAAAATTAGACGACGCGTCCCATCAATAAAAATTCGACAAATTTGCAAGTAGCCAATAAAATGAGTGGGCGGAGCGATTTGCGGTGACGTACCGTCAAGTCGACGTATAAAATATATTGTTGTTTATTTAAATATTTTTTGTCCGCATTCCTTTCCTAGACACAGATCCAACAGACGTACTGTATATCTCTATTCACTGTTAAAATTTCACGTCAATCGGTGCGGGTGTCAAGAATTCGGAGGTAATACCCTATTTTTATCCTCGCTTACTGATCTGTTTATAATACCTAAGTGTCTAATTTTTTATATAGTAAAATTCAATCAAATTCTCATTTTTAGATTGTTATATTTTATGTCGGAGTACTGTAGTAGTCAAATTATTTATCAAATTTGCTTTCATTAATGATGCAAATATAGGCGTATCGACGTAAAAACCGGAAAAGTGAAGAGATTATTTTCGTTCGTTATTGTACAAAAACACTCGACATCAGACAATAAGTGGCACATTTACAAAAATAGATAAAATGGATAAACATAATTCAATGAATAATGACTAATTTATATGCATAGTTTAAGAAGCGCATTGGCTTACTCATTGAAAATAACGCCGGCTGGTTCATACTACATATTTGTTTTTTATATAAACTTAGTATTTAATAAACCTTATTGTGTAAACCACCGGAGGATTTGTGAATGGAAAATTAATAGTTTACTTTGGAAATAAATTCACCAAGATCTAAAACACGAGTAGAATTACGAGAGTTGTTCTAGCAGTTATTCAAATTAAAAATCTTAAATTGCATATTGTAAAAACATAATAAAATTAAAAAATATTATTTTTAATAGCTCTTGTTGATAATATTCCAATATTGATCTACGGGATGTCAAAAAATAGTGTATCTAACTTTATTTTACTTTAATTTTTAATTTGAAAAGAGACTAGAGAAAGTCAAATAACTTTACAAATTGCAATAAAAACATTGCTACAAGTTGCATAAAAAATCATTAAAATTGGCTCACTACCCATACAGGAGTCCCTGTAGTTTGACAACGGGGCTAGGCGTGGCCCAGTCCAGTGGCGGGAAACCAGAAATCGGCTCACCAAGATTGGTCCAAAGCTGGGTAATTCAGGCTTGACCAATCCTATGTTCACCCTATATTGGGCCACGATTGGTAAATCAAGTCTCAGTCATCTCTTTTTTTTCTTTTATAAATGGGAAACGCCTTTAGGGCCGGAGTGATCTCCCCCCCTACTCTACCCAGAGGGAGGGCCTACCCACTAAAAACCCATCTTTGCTACATAAGACTTACATGACATCGGGATAGTAGGTGATTCTCAGTTATCTCATATTCTCTAAACTATTCTAACATTCATTTCCATATATGTATATATATACATAAATCTTCCTTATTATTTTAATCGAGTCACAGTCAGTTTTTTATCACAGTTTAGTTCTTTATCACAGACAATAATATCACAGTATCACGAATTTTTGGCTTTAATCTCATCGTTTACTTTATGTTTCATTATTGTATGCAGCATTGATATAATGGCTCGGCACTTTTCTTCATCCTCACTAATGGGGATACCAACTGTGTTTTCCTCCAGCTTCCTTTGGCATATTTCTTCTGTTTCTGCCCTTATTGTTTGCCACCTAGGGCAGGGAAATATTGTATGACCCGGGCTGTCCACAGTATTACAGTAAGTGCAAGTGTCGCTGTCCCTTTTGCCGATTCTTTTTAGGTAGGTGCCAAAAACCCCGTGTCCGGTAATGGCTTGTGTCACAAAATGGTCTATATTAATTGCCTTGCAGTTTACCCAGAACCTTATATCTAAAATAAACGTTTTAGCCCATCCTTGATATTGCGACCACGCATCCTGCCATTTGTCCAGTATAATATTTCTGGCCTCAAATCTGAATTGGTCTCCATGTTTATACACTAGACTTCTTTGTTCTGTTTGGAGCTTTCTCGGTGGGATACCGGCTAGGACCAGAATGGCCTTAGTTGGAGATGTTCTATATGCCGATGTTATTCTCAGCGCTATTTTACGATTTATGGAGTCTAAGATATTTTCGTAGAGTTTGTATTTTAGGGCTCTCTCCCATATGGGAGACGCATACAGAATCGTGGAAGACACCACCGAGGCCAATGACCTCCTCTTTTCTGCCACCGGTCCCTTCAGATTGGGCATAACTCTGGATAACTGCTTTATGATTGCCTCTGTTTTTTCCTGAAGTTTTCGAATATGGGTGGTCATCCGAGCGTCTTTATCTAGCCAAACTCCCATGTATTTTACGGCCCTTGTGCTTTTAATGTTGGTATTGCACCAGCTAAATTCTACCTCCTTCATCTTCTGTCTTCCCGCCAAAATGACAATTTCAGTCTTATTGGTAGCTAACTCTATGCCCATCTCATCCAGCTTATTTTTAATAGTGTATGCTGCAGCAGTCATTCTTTCTATAAGCATGCTTTTGCTGGGGGCACTTGTCACTAGGGCTAGATCGTCTGCATATCCAATAAGACTGCACCCCGGTCCGTAGTCCTCTCTAAGCACTTGGTCATAGAAAACGTTCCACAGTGTCGGTCCAAGTATAGATCCTTGCGGGACGCCATATACCATTCTGAAACGTTCTCCATGTTCCGTAACAATGTAGCTTTTATGGAGGTATTGTTGGAGCATTCTAATTAGGTACCCACTGATTCCCTTGTTTTCAAGTTGTCTTATTATTTCTTGCCATTGGGCCGAGTTAAATGCATTTTTTATATCTAATGTCAGGAGTGTTGCGACTCCTCTGGATTTGTAACTCTTAGCGTTTATATTGTCCACTATGTTTAGGATTTTATTTAGTGCATCTATTGTGGATTTGCCCTTTCTGAATCCATATTGGTTTTCATGGATGGCACCTTTCTCTGTAAGCTCCTTTTCTAGTCTATTTTTTAAAAGGGTCTCCAACAATTTAGCTCCAGAATTTAGCAAACATATCGGTCTGTACGAATTTGATGTACTATCTTGGGTTTTCTTTTCTACTAGTACCAGTTTCGCGGTTTTCCATTCCATTGGAATATGTCCTACCCTGAGACAGAAGTTCATGACATCCATGACCGATTTACAATCGTGTCTGGCGGCAGCTTTGATAACATCAATAGGAATGCCATCACAGCTCGGAGCTTTTTCCACTTTTAGACTCTGAGTCGCCTCTATTATCTCCTCTTCTGAGAAATATGGAATTTTATCTCTCTCAATGGTAATAGTCTGCCATTGTATTATCTTTACGGTCGGGAATAGTAATCGTATCTGTTCTCTAGTTGTTTCTTCTGATATACTTTTTTTGTTTCCAGTACTCCACTTTCTGGTGACTATTTGGTATGGTCAGTCATCTCTTAATTCACCCAACTTTAGTACAACACTGGAAATCTCAGCTCCGGCCATGCTACGGCGACCCAGTTTTGAACCAGAATTGGTTAACCAAGCCTGGACCATTTTTTGGTGATTTAGACTTGGTCCCATACCAGGAAATCGAGTATTGCCCGTCTCTTAATTCACCCAGCTTTGGCCCCACACTGGGAATCTCAGCTCTGGCCATGCTACGGTGACCCAACATTGAACCAGAGTTGGTCAACCAAGCCTGGACCATTTTTTGGTGATTTAGACTTGGCTAACACTCGGAAATCCAGTCTTGCCCATTTCTTAATTCACCCAACTTTGGTACAACACTGGGAATTTCAGCTCTGGCCATGCTACGACGACCCAGCATTGAACCAGAGTTGGTCAACCAAGCCTGGGCCATTTTTTGGTGATTTAGACATGGCCCAATACAGGGAAATCGAGACTTGCCCATCTCTTAATTCACCCAACTTTGGTACAACACTGGAGATCTCAGCTCTGGCCATGCTACGGCGACCCAGCTTTGAACCAGAGTTAGTCAACTAAGCCTGGGCCATTTTTTTCTGATTTAGACTTATGTGGTCCAATACTGGGAAATCGAGTCTTAGCCATTTCTTAATTCACCCAACTTTGGACCAGCACTGGGAAACAAGACACTATGTAGTTAAGCTCATTCGTTAAACAGAAATTTACTCACAATAAATAAAAAATTGTTTAAAAAATAATTTTTATTTATATTTTATAATCATGTTTGTAAACAAATGCTTCATAGCATTGATTATATTTGAATTAACGCCAATGAGGGAGTCATTAAATCATATGATTTTAGTGGCACGATGATCGCTAGATGGCGACTTTGTTAAAAACTTTGACAAGATTTGATTAAAAACATAGACAAGTTCTGTAACGTATTTGACGTGCATTTTCTGTTTGGAGCTTGCCTATTCGGGGTAGACCACCAAAGTCGTCCTGATGATCCACTAAAATCATATGATTTAATTACTCCCTCTATTGGCGTTAACCTGACCACAAAATAAGAATCAGTTGATTCAGTTGATTCTTATTTTGTGGCTTGACAAACTTTAAACAGAAAATTCGCACATAAAGCAGGTGTACGGCTGTTAAATGCTTTTCTCAAATCTAATCTAAATATATGATTATATGAATATGAATATAATTATTTGTGTGTTAACTTTATTCGAAATGCTGGGTTCAAAAACAATTATTGTTTTTTTGCTGCTGGATCAAATTCGACATTAAACTCTCGGCGATCAAACATGGCCTGGTCTTGGCATTCAAGCCAGGCCCAGCCTTGACGATCAGTGATGGCCCAACGTCGGATTCAAAGCCTGGCCCGATGTTTTAATTCGACAACCATAATAGCACCACATAACCACAGTCGGGCCAAAACTAGTATACAAATATGGCCCAGTATTGGTGATCAAACTTGGCCTAGCTTTGGGGATCAAAATTGGCCTAATGTTGGTGATTAAGTTTGGACCAACTCTGGTAATCAAGCATGGCCCAGCCTTGGTGATTTAGCTTGGCTCAATTTGGACAACCAAGCCTGGCACGATGTTATCATTCCAGGCTATTCCCAAAGCTGGGCCCAAGACTGGTATGCATAATTGACCTAGATCTTTATACTACTGAACTAGTCCTGTACCAAGACTGGGCCGATGCACAGTGATGCAGAAGTTCCCAATAGCGGCAGAAAATCAAAATATCAGAAGATTTTTTTTTAAATTATAATTTCACTCGTATAGTTCCAAATAGTCCATATTTTCAGAATCGTGAAGATTTTTGAGTAAAAACGGCCCCATTATTAATCCCTGATAAGAAATGTTCAAGCTTATAAGATTATTAGCTGAAGCTAAAATATTTTGATTAAATTTTGATTAAATAAAATTAGCGCCCTTAACGTTGGCGATAAATTAGCTAAAAACTGATGGTACTCTGAGAAAGTACAATGTTTTTAACTGTTTTTCCTCATGATAATTCTAGTTTTAACTTCCCTGGTACCATAAAAAAAAAATCAATAAACACCTTGATGTAATTAAGAACTGCTTAATCTAAAATCACATTTTATGTAAGCTAATACAAAATGCTCTCCAAAAAAATATGATGTGGGTTACAATTATTAGCCTTTTTTCTTCATAACTACGAAGTTTCATGACCAACATTAACCCACAAATACCCTTTAGGTTGCCTAACTCTCCCGAAAACCATGATTTAGTTTCCCAAATTAAATTACGTATGACAGTATATTACTGAGTGTTTCTTGGGTGCTGTAAAATATTGTTCTTGGTTATTTTTAATTAGTTTTAGAAAGGAAACTGTAATATATTTTCTCGTATTCAATGTAATTTTCGATATACAAAGTATTCAAATTTAAAAATAATTTTTAATGTGTAATTTTAACTAGCTTTTCCCAGTTAAATCTAAGTTTTTATTCGTTTTGTGCCTATATGACATTAAATTTAATATTATTAGAAATCTGATTCATTTTGAATAATTATTGTTAATATAAACTACACAAAGTCGTGTTAATGTGTCTATGATGCGTCAATATTCAGTCAACAACTTTTATCAAGAATCTCAGGCACCTTCTAGAAACTAATTTTCTCGGATATAGTAAGAGATCACCAAGACTTATCCTGTCAAGTAAAATAGAACAGCATCCTGAGGCTCCAAAACTTATTATAGATTAAATCATTCTATTTTTTTATCCATTTACTAAATCCATATTAAATATATTATCCATCTTATCTCGAAGCTTGAGGATAATTTTTAGTTTCTTTTTCTTGCGTATTAAATTCTTGTAACACAGTTCTAATTATAATCTAACTATAATATTTTTACCACAGGTAATTACAGATATTTCTAAATTATAGAACTAAAATATAACTAAAATTAAATGGTTGTAAGTGAACAACTGCTTACATCTAATGCGAAAAGAGCGCTCAGTCTTTTAGATGTTTTGGTATTACTTTCATTAATAGCTAACTAGATAAAATATATAGATCTATTTAGTTTTTTTTTCATGGAAATGAATGTAAATATCTTTTTAAATTGAATTTAACTAATACTTATTGGTAACTAGGTCAGAAAAAAAGGATTAATTATATTAACACGAAATGCTAATTCTATTGTAAGGGGCTGAAAATAAAACCCTGTATATTTATTTATGTGTTTACACAAACTTGTTTTGAGTGTTTAAACTTTACAAAGAATAGAGTATTAAATTAATGTGCTATTAAAGACAAAATAATATAATTAAATTTTTACAACCCATTTTTTATTTTTTACAGCCAATTTAAGTACACTCTGTATACATAATTCAAATTTCTGAATTCGAAACATCACGTATATACTTAGGGAACCACATTTAACAAAAATAATTTAAAAAAATGTAGTAAGTTGAGAAATTATTTTTTGCCACTTTTCGCGTTTTCGGCATCACTGTGCGATGGTTTGATCCAGTATGAGTAGATCAAAATACGTTTAGTTTGTTCTGTGTGATGAGTAAAACAATCATAATATTTATTTATTTTTGGATATTTTAAGGTCCATACATATAAAAATGTAGTGTTTATGAAAATTTATATTTTAGAACGATTGAGTCATCCGATCATATTTTAGAATATGGATTTTTAAAACATACTTTTTTGGTGTAAATTGATTGATGAATAGCTCGTCTGTTTCAATTAAATGTTCCCTTGCACTAAATAACAGAGACAGGTAAAAATATAGTAAATATGCGTATACATATAATACCACCGGGATATTACTAATAGATATTAATTATACTACATATTCGTATACTGGGTGCGTCTCAGAAGTGACGAGATTTGGTATGTTAATTTGGAAATGACTACAACTTTTGATTTTTAAATGATACCTTGGGTATTTTTTTTACTTTATTCGATATTTTTCCAAGGCTCCTTGATTAAAAATTAGTGTTTTTAACACAGCCATGGCACTCTAGATTAAAATTTAAAATACAATTTGTTTTTGAGCCAAATATGTCAAAAGTTGACATATGATATGTCGTTTGATTTAGAGTGTCATTTTCTATGGAATAAAGTAAAAAAATACCGAGGGTACCATTTAAGAATCAAAAGTTGTAGTCATTTCCGGTGAAACAGAAAGTGACCGAAAACAATTGAATACGGCAATCAATCCTGATTTATGTCATATACTAACATACCAAATCTTGCTTTTTTATCTGAAGAATTTAAAAATTATAGGGATGAGCCACTTTTGAGACGCACTCGGTATACCATGTTAACAATAATAATGAGTATTTGACAGTAGACGTTATAGGGGGCGCTATTTTACAGCTCGTTTTATATGTCTTTGATAATTTTGCTGTATTTGAAATGAACTAAATTTAAATACATTTCTATTTATTTTAGCAACATTTTGTAATAGAACCAAAAATAAACCATCCTGCCGAACCACCAACACATGGATGTAAATACCACGTTGACTTGTTCACAGCTGCCGATGAAGACAATAATGAGTGTTACAAACAAGCTTTAAGTTACGAAATACCAGGTAACAACAATCTTTCTTTTTTATTTCTGTATTTCTTTTTAATTTATTTGACTTTTTTGCCATTTTTTCATTATTTGTTATCTTTTTTTCCTTCTTTTCTTTTTTATTAACTTTTTTTTACACAACATAAATGTATAGACATTAATCGTTCTCATTGGAATTGGATTTATAGAGGTACCAATAAAAATGTTATTCTAAATACAAAAGTTTATATTTTGCATAATAAAGATAAATGTATACAGGGGGCATCTGTAGCTCCTAGAATAAAAAAAAATTGTTTAAGTGCAAATCTAAAGTATGTTCTAGGATGTATATCAGGAAAATAATTTAACTTCTATAGAGTGGCTCAAAAAAGTGTGATTGGATGGGGAGGATTTTTTTTAAATGGAACATCTTGTATATTATTGCATTTTTGGCTTATTTTCAGATCACTTTACATAATCCTAAGATATGAGTAAATAGATTTTGATAGGTGCAGAGATATTAAAATAAATAAATAAAAAGAATCTATTTTTCAGCCTTTCATAAAAAAAATATTAAAAATACAAGAACTCTCCTGAAATCAAAACTATATTAAGTATTTAATTTTGATGGTTTGTACTTACTTTGCTGTATATATGGTAATCGTAAATCACACGGGATGTTCAAAATTTTACGCCAAACTTTCTAAAATATAAAATAATTTTTCTTCGTTTTTTTTTAAATGGAACACCCTGTATATTATTTTTTCAATAGATGGAGAATTAAAGAATGAACATTTTTTGTATTTATAGTGTTTCAAAATTTTTAACGGTTTTGCAGATATTCGTCGTTTTATATCTTCAATGTCATTTTCCATAGTAAATTTTTACCAAAGCCACTCAATGATTTTTCTCTCGTATTTTACCGTTGAGAGAGTCATTATGAAATAATACTGGCGTGTATCTGCGAAACCACTAAAAATTTTAAAATACTTTAAATACAAAAAATGTTAATTTTTTAATTCTCCATCTAATAAAAAAACAATATACGGGGTGTTACATTTAAAAAAAATAATGCAATATTAGTTTATATTTTAGAAAGTTTGGCGTAGAATTTTGAACATCCTGTATGATTAAATATTACGATATTTATAGGAAAGTAAGTATAGGCTATCTAAATTAAATATCTAATATAGTTTTGATTTCAGGACCTTTCTTGTATTTGTAATATTTTGTTTAATGAAGGTTGAAAAATAAATTTTTTTTATTTATTTATTAATATCTCTGAAACTATCGAAATATATTTATTTATGTCTTAGGATTACGTAAAGTGATCTGAAAGGAAGCCAAAAATGCAATAATATACAGGGTGTACCGTTTAAAAAAAATTATCCCGATCCACTCAAACTTTCTTGAGCCACCCTATAGAAGTTAAAATATTTTCCTGAAATACATCCTTGTACATACTTTAGGTTTACACTTAAACAAAATTCTCGAGTTTTTTACTCATACAGATATCCGACGCACTATTGCCAGACCCTGTAGAACTTATAGAATGTAAAATTAAATTTAATGAATGTGAGCAAAATGCTTCATCGTGACAACTCATGTGATTTTAAATCTATAGCGACTAATGCCGGGTGAAAAGATTTAATTTTAGAGTTTCGATATAACTTTTGATAGTGGCGAATCTGTAAATTTAATTAATTTTTAATTTTTTTACAGACTGTGTGGATTCGGTATGCAAATGTGGAGTTGCAATATCACCATTTCAACCTAAGAACATCACACAATTAAAAGATAATATGTACAAAATCGAGTTTGAGAAAACAGAACGAGTCATAGATATAAGATTGGAAGATATATTCGATCGCATTCGATAGTAAGTATTAAATTATTTGCTATATTTGTAATTGAATATGATTTATGTTATCGACGATTTTATCTTGTATATAGACCAAATAGAAAGCGTCCTTTGTTTAAATGCTTAAGAATTTGAAATCAAATACTTTACTCATTTTTATAGAATTCAACCTAAATATCCTAAGAGATATAAGTAAATATAGAGTTAGAGTTTCACAGGAGAGATTATAACAGGTTATAAGTCCAGAGATTGATTTTATCATGTTCAATTAAAGCAACAATAGCGGATACCTAGACTCCCAACTCCCAACAAACAATAATAATAGGCTGTACTTAAACTGCCGTTAAACGGTAGCTTACTAAAATGCCGTTAATAGGTATGACGTCGTTGATGTGACGCACTTGACGGCTTTATGAAATATAGGAATTTTACAAGGACTAACCAACGCTATCCACCCCACCAAATAACCAACGCAACTAACCTCGACACTGATAAAAAAATTAAAAAACAAATATAAATTAGTAAAAACCAACCAACCCCACCAAGTAACCAACTAACCAATGAATTAACACCCTCCAAATAACCACGCTAACCAACCCGCCAAACAACTAAACCAATCCAACCAAAAAGAGTGAAACCAATGCCATAAGATCACGCTATAAGCAAAAAAATATATAAAAAAGGCTTGGTCAGCGTGAGATTTGAACCCCGGACCATTCGCTTACCAACCGATAGCCTCAGCCATGGAGCCATAGGTGCTCTTGCAATATGCTTATGGCTAGGCATTACTTTCCGCCGACATGAACGACGTCACAATATCTATTAACGGCATTTTAGCAGGCTACCGTTTAACGGGTGTTTAAGTACATGGATAATAATATGGGTTTTTAATAACAGTTACATTCGAAAAAAGAAACTTTGAAATAAAAACAATTTTTAAATTACAATAAAAGCTACCTAAATGGGATTTTACCCGGTATAGCCTAGTATGTAGTTAAATTAACTATTGTACTTTAAACTAAATTAAAACTTGATCGAAAAAGTTATACAGGGTGAGACAAAATTAATATTGAACATTGGTCACTTTTAAAAGCATGTTACTCTCTTATTTTAAATGGAACACCCAGTATATTATTCCGATATTCAATGGAGAATTCATGTCTCTTCAAAATACTGTTAAGGTTGCCTACCCCCCAAACAAAGATTTTCCTAGATATTTTCATTTACATGATTTGATCTGAGTAGATCTTTATTATTTGATAAAATCTAGGGGGCTGTGATATGGTCTGACGTTACTTCAACATAGCTGTCTAATTAGTCCAACTTTAACAACTAGTTATCATTTTGTGTCAGTTAAAACAAAAAAAATTCTCAGAAATTTGACGAAAATGCAAACTTATCCTACAAAAGAGAGAATTGATATGATTTTATTAGTTTCTGAATGCAGTGTGCATTAATAGAATACTTATATGCTCCTGATTTTTATCTAGACTGTTTTTATGGGGATATGTTAAAGACAGTTTACAAAACTCGACCAACCATTGTCGACATCATGAGAGAAATTATTGTAGGTGCTTTTCGGGACTCGCCATATGCCTTTTAAAATTAAAAGGTCCTTTTGAAAAAACAATCATTTTATGAAGTTAATAGGAAGCATTTTGAGCATTTGATTTCATCTAGCTAATTTTTGTCGCATAATTATAGGTTTATATCTAGTTTTAATTCTGTAATAATTAAAATATGTTTTAAACGTGTATCTTTTTATTACCCTTGAGTATTTTACTTTACAATCTTTAATTTTTGTTAAATTAACAAAAGGTACACAGCCACCTAGGTTTTTTCAAATAATAAAGATTTACTGACGCAAAATCATAAAAATTAAAATATCTCGGAAAATCTTTGTCTGAGGGGTAGACAACATTAATAATATTTTGAAGATATATAAATTCCCCATTGAATACCTAAAAAATATACTGGGTGTTCCATTTAAAGTAACCTGCTTTTAAAAGTGAATAATGTTCCATATTAATTTTGTTTCACTTTGTATAACTTTTCGGATCAATTTTCAATTTGGTTTAGCATACAATGGTTACTGTAATTAAATATCAGGCTATACAAGGTCAACTAAAATTTAGGTAGCTGTTATGGAAATTTAAAATTTACTCTTCATTTCCACAAAATGTGAAATATGTCAAAATCCTTAGATTTTAGGTATATGATTCTTTAATAAAACTCACCTTTTTTTATCCTAGAATCCGAAAATCAATTAATATATAGAGTGTTCCATTAGAAAAAACACAACTTTGATATGTAACTTTTTTGGGGACACCCTGTATAATTCTATATCTATACTAATATATAAAATCCTTAAGTGACTGACATACTAATTAATCACGATCCTGCTCAAACCACTCTACGTAAGAAACTCAATTTTGGCGTACAGGTTGATTCTAGGGTGTAGAGGTTCGATAAGAAGGGATTTTTCGAAATTTCAGTTCCAAGAGGGTGAAACCATCCCTCAAATATTACAATATTTTTTATTTCATAAACGGCCAAGTTTCCGAAAAAACGCTTAAACACGTATATTTTATTTTGTTTTTTACATATTTTAAGATTTTTTAAAAATATATACAGGGTGTTTCGAAAAATCTGGTCACTGATTAATCACGATCCTGCTTAAAGCGCTTGGCGTAAAAAACAGATTGACTTTAGGGTGTAGAGGTTCGATAAGAAGAGATTTTTCGAAACTCGAATTCTAAGGGAGTGAAACTATCCCTCAAATATTAAAATATTTTTTATTTAAAAACCGGCGAGTTTTTCGGAAAAACTCTTAAACACGTATATTTTATTTTATTGTTTTACATATTTTAAGATTTTTTATAAATTTATACAGGGTGTTTCATAAAATATGACCATTGATTAATCACGATTCTGTTTAAACTGCTTGACGTTTAAAGCTGATTTTTGGCAAACGGATTGACTGTGGGGTGTAGAGATTCGATAAGTAGGGGTCTCTCGAATCTCAAATTTCAAGAGGGTGAAAACTCCCCTCAAATATTACAATATTTGTTATTTAAAAAACGGTTAGTCTTTTGGGAAAACGCTTGGACAAGCATAATTTATTTGGTTTCTATACATATTTGGAAATTTTTTTAAAAAATCATACAGGGTGGTCCAAAAAGGTAGGTAATTTCTTAACCACGATTCTGCTTAAACTGTTTGACGTAAAAAGCTTATTTTTGGCAAACGGATTTTTCGAAAGTCAAATTCCAACGAGGTGAAACTACCCCTCAAATATTACCAAGTTATAGAATAATATCGCCATATTGTTTTTTCTCATGCTGACATAAATGTGAGAAAATTTTATCCAGTTTGTATGTTAATGGAAATTCTTGCTTTGCTTTCCATCACCATTACAAATTATTAATTCGACGCGAACGAAGTCGCTGGTACACGCTAGTATTTTTATAAAATGCTCGCTAAAATACGCTGTCAAAATTTCATTTCGATATAAACTACCGTTCTCCTTGGAGATCCCGCGGCGTATGAGAGGCGCTACCGCGCCACCCTGTATATTTCAATATCTGTGTAGATGTGAATATGATATTATCCCACTGTACACCGTTGAATGGCTATTCTATAATGTCCAGTACGTGATTGATTTGCAGTGGACATTAATTTATTGCAAATAAACTCTAAGCCTGTCTGTCAATTTGTGGAATATGGCAGAGTTCCAAACTTAATTGATTTAAAAATTAATTTTCTGTATATAAATTCGTTTCGTGAAATTTTCCGATATTTTGATAGCCTGACTTTGTTTTGTTTATTTAGGTTTGTCTATATAACTTCTATCATAGAATATAGTTTATATTCTGTATTTTTTTAATATGCTATCCTAATTTTTTGTGGACATCTGATGGTTTATTCGCATTGTTCATTGTTTTTAATCTGGTCTGAAGTCCTCAAAAATAAATTCACTGAACCCTACGGCACATTTAGCATCTATTTCCTTCCATGTAAAATTTTCTATGAACTATAAAAATGCAATATTTTATGGTCTAAATGTCTTTTTTATGGCTTTAAGATATTTATTTCTATATAAAAAAATATTTTTGATAAACTAACGGTAACATATTCTAGATTTATTATTGATATCGAGGTATATATTTACGGTAAAAAGTTTTACCATACCGGAAATGATTCCCGAGGGTCTGAATATAGCGTTTTCATATTTCTTCCTACAAATATGTTTTTTCTTAAATATATCTAACGCCATTCAAGATACGTGAAAAGCAATTTGCATACGGAAGCTATTTTTATTTACAAATCTACTAAATGTATTATAAAAATAGTAAAGTATTTTAATTTAACGTCTGTGCTTTCACTATGAAATTCCATCATCAGTGGTCTAAAGATCGTCAGATTTAAATGAAATTTAAATATGTGACAGTTAGTTTTAAAGAAACGTCAAAATTTGAGATGTGAGAGTTGAGTAGGCTCTGTGAGCGACGCACGGTGTGACGAAATTGAGAAATGCTGCATACTAGCACAGAATATCTAGCTATCGATTGGGCTTAAACTTTGTATGCTACGTATGTTCGGTGACACTGTAATATGATGATACTATAATGCATATAAAGCGGTACCTTCTATAGTACCATATTATGATACCACTTCCTGACGTTCGATTGGGCTCATATTTGATTATACTTGCGTATTTTTGATGACATTGCAATATTATGGCACTATGAAGCATATCAAGAGGTACCATAATGTAGTACCTACGTACTATTACGATACCATTTCCTGGCGTTCGATTGGGCTTAAACTTGGTATATTGGTATACTACCTATCTTCGATGACATTGTAATATAATGGTACTATGATGCATATAAAGTGGTACCTACCTATAGCAGAGCCTATAGTACTATATTACGATACCATTTCCTGGCGTTTGATTGTGCTTAAATTTGGTATACTACGGATCTTCGGTGACATTGCAATATTATGAAGTATAT